ATGTTCTTTGTTGTGTAACAAGTGGAAAAGTACAGATTTCATAATCTCTTCAACTTCCTCTGTTTTTAGTCATAGTAACAAAAAGCTGGAACTTCGTATCCCTAAGCAAATCTGGCTGTTTTTAAAACTACACATTCTTCAGATCTTGGGCCAGACTCTCAGTTGGTGCAAAACAACACAGCTCCATGTAAGTTAAAGAACGAGTGTTATATTACAGCAGTGGCCCTCAATCTTTTGCCCCGTCAGCTAGATGAATGGTGCAGGGTCAGTGTGTGGGCCAGATCAGGCTCATACACCATGACTGAACCCGTGTTGCCTCCACCCAGCCCTGTGTGCCCAGATCAGGCCTGTGCCACCCCTACCCCGGCCAGTCCTGTGTCTCAATTAGTGCCACAGTGACTCAGCCCAGCCTCGCATGCTGGCATTGGGCCCTGTGCTACCCTGCACATCCAATCTAGTGTGCAGGACCATGGTATCTGGCTCATCACATGCCCAGAAATTTGGCAGCAGGGGAGCAGCAATTAAACTGCAACCACCTCCCCACCAGCTGTTTCAGTGAGAATGTCAGTAGAGAAAAACAGTAAACTCACATGTGGGAGATTGAGTTTTCATCAAAGCCTGAAGGTCAATGGTAATTTTGGAGATCTCACTATGATACTGTTGGAAAGAGTTTTTGAGACCTGAAATATCTTTGGAATTAGATGCTATAGTTCCATTCATCTGATTAATACAGTTCCATAACCTGGTGACATGCTTATTCAGAGCTTCTTTTATCCTCCGTAGATTACCAGAGATAAGGTCCAATTTGCTGCAAACTTTTTCAACATGGGATACTCTGCTATCAACATCTGAAACTCCTTGCTGAATACCAGAGGTCCTTTCTTTACATTTCTTGAGGTCATGAAAAACTTGTTCATATAGCTTTTCAATCCTTTCTTTTACTTCATTACAACAATTATCACTTGGATGAGAGGTGTGATTGGCAACTGTCCTCTGTATTTCATCTATTTTTCTGAATGCACCACGCTGTGCTTTTTTACATGTAGAATTCACGCCCAGAAGTTGCTCCTTACAGCTGCTCAATCCATCTTGAAGATTTTTCACATCTTTATCCATCATACTTAAACCAAAACGAAGTACACGTAAATCTTTCTGCAGTTTTTGGATGTCATGTTGGTTGCCCTTAATGAAGTTAAACTTTTCATTAAGAGAGAAATTTAAAGACTTCAGTAAAGCAGAATTACCTTCTGTTTTCAAAAGCAAGACTTCATATTTCTTGTTACAACTTTCTATGTCTTTCTGAAGATCTTCTATACTTTGGGGTGCAGAGTTACATTTCTGCCAGCAAAGATTTTCAACAGCTTGTAGTTTGTTCTTAAGAAGATTAATCTCAGCTGTAAATAGTTCATTTCCAAGTGCTGAATCATTGTGCACGACTAATTTAGGACTACTATCTATTCCCTCAGAGTCTGTGGCATTGGCAATCTCCAAAATAGTTCCACCCAGTCTCTCTTCTAGTGCCCGTAGCTTTTGGTCAAGTAAGTCTCTCACTTCATCTACTTCAGAAGCTATAATACCTCGAAGAGTTTCCTCGATGTAAAAACAATGCTCTTCGGCATTCTTCTCAGTAACATTGATCCTAGCATCTAGCTCTTCCCATCTTGCACCAAAGATGTCTTCTAGATGTGGAGTAGAAATGTGGCTAATTTCATTATCTATTCTGGTATTTAAGACATTGTATGCTTCCATGATTCTATCCACTTTCTCATCCAAATTTTGTACCTGTTGATTGAAGTCACCACTTTTGCCATCCTTGCAACAGTTTACCTGGTTTGATGGAGTTTGGATCTGAATTCGGAGTTCATTCACTTCTCTCTTCAGGTCATTTTCCTTTTCTTCTATAAGTTCAATCATTCCTGCATAACTGGCTTCATGGTCATCACATTGTTGTTGGATACCCAATAGTTTGTATTCACAGGAGCTCTTCAGATCTGCCATTTTTGTCTCTAATCCTTCCAACATTTCCTGTCTCAAGGCCTCAAATTTTGAGTCAATATATTCCTGATATAAATCACCACTAGGCATCATTATTGTTGGTCCTTGTGCTGCCTCCTGCAGTTGTTTTACTTGTCCTTCATAGCCCTTCACTTTTCTATTCAGCTCCTCCAGCTGGCTGTTTTTGACCTTCAAGGCTTCTTTGACCTCATCTAGCTCAAACTTTATATCTTCCATTCTCAGCACAGTAAAATGTTCTTTCTGGTCTTTATTGCTCATAATTCCAGGTAGATGAATAGTGTCTGTTTCACCACCAATGGCACTATCGGGTCCTGGGTGGTCATAAAGGTTGTTCAGCCATGAAACCAACATTTTACTGGCATCTTCTTGGATAGTAAGTTTTAAGTTTTCATTCACACCTGCTACAGAGGACTGAAGATCAAGCACTGTCTGTGTGAGTCGAAACAATTCATCCTCAAAGAACTGAATTTTCTTCTGATATAATTCTTGTGGCACTTCCGTTGGTTCAGAATCTGTTTTAAAGAAATAATGGAGATAACATTTAGATGTATGTAACAACAGTTTAGATCAGCTAGAGGTTAGTTTTAGTTTCTTTTTGTTAAGTTAGATGCACTAAGTAATGCTTTAAAATACTATATAGCTTAGTGTCACCCCTTCAGAGGCAGATCTGGTGGGGTCGGGGGATGCACTGGTGCAGCTGCACCCCCTGCCCCACCTTTGATTTTGTGTCCACTCAATATCTAAAACCAACTACCTGGCAGTTGCAGCTGCATCTCTGGTCGGGCAGCAGTGAGGTTGTTAATTGACTCCATGGCTCATTAAAATCTACCTGACTCCTTCTAAACTCTTCATTCCACAGGTGTTAGTGACCCTATCTCTTTTTTAATAGTCTTGATGTTCCACTAATCAAGCTGGACTTGCTTCTCCAATTCTGCAATCTGTTAATTGCTCCTGGTAATGCTGTTCATATTTCTTAGCCTTGCAGACTGTTTTTAACTCATTTCAATAAAGTTATATTTATTTTTGCATCAGTTAATATAGCCCTAGGCCCCTAGCATATTAGTAAAGCTTCTAGTTTCTTTTTACCTGCCTGGAAAAAAAACATGTGTTGTGTTATATGTAATTACGTACTTCACCAGGTGCACTCCCTGCTTTTCAAAATCTAAATCCACCCATGCACCCCTTCCATTATTTTCTTCAGTGGTTAATTATTTTGTCATAATAGAGTCTCTCCAAACTAAAGCTTTAACATGTCAACTTTAATGTACCTACAAAGGTACATTAAAAATTAAAAGGACTATTGTGCCTGCCCACATGTTTGCACAGGCATGAAATCTAGGCTTTATATATATATTAAATGGTTCTATTATGTACAGTTTATGTGAATGATTATTCTAAAGCCATTTCACCTCTCATAACAAAAACTAAAACTGGACACAGTAGTAACAGAAAATGACTTGGCCCTTTTCTATTTTTGCAGGGTTGTCTTTGAGAAGACATTGACTTTGAGGAGACATTTCTTCTGCTTGAAGCTGGGCTTCTTCCTATGTTGATCTGGAATCTAAACACACGTATAAGATGGAGGCATGGAGAACATTTAAGACTGTAAATCTTGTGTTAAAAATCTCAAGTTATTTAATACACATTTAATTAGTCCAATAGAAATTTATATGTTTTGTAAGAAAAACATATTCTTTTATAGTAAAAACAAACGAAATATTAGAGTAAAATAAATTATTTTATTTTCATTTTAGTTCTATAAATAAGGTCCTTCAATTAATTTTTGTTTGGATCAATATATTTGTGTGTGCACCCATCTGGCTTCAAATGCCTGCTCGCATGCTGCCTTGGCCTGGGCAGTAGAGGGTGTACGCTCTCTGACGTAGGTTCCCCGAGGTGGGCTTCAGTTGTTCCTCTGACCTTCCCTGAACTCTTCTGCCACATCTTTGAATGTCATATCAGTGTGGGGTTCGGCCTTGAAGTTCCCCTCAGGGATGACCACGCCGCTTATGGGATGTTTGTGGGGCTCCACCTCCCCTACACCCCAGCCTTACGCCAACCGCTTGGTGGGGTGCTAGATCTTGACACGGCAGCCTCTCCAGTCCAGATATTCCTGATCGTATCCTCCTCTATCCTTGGGGAAGGCTAATTAGCTGGCCCGGGCTCTAGGCCTGCAATTCCCTTGAGCTGGTTGGCTCTCCTCTTGGGGTCCGAAGGCGCCCCTGTCAAGCAGGGGTAAAGGAATAAAATGAAAAAAGAAATGAAAAGAAGAGACCAGAAGATGTCCCTATCTGGTGTCCTACTGGTCAGCTTTCTCAACCTTCCTGCCTGAACTTGGCAGTGCTCCCCCGACGCTGGTCCCACAGGGCTCCCCTCTCTTCTCCACCCCTAGCCCAGCTCCCCGACCTGGTACCTGGCAGCAGTCATGTGGAGACACCCTTGCTTCTCCAAGGTTGGCTTCAGCCTCTCCCTTGGGCTCGTCATCCTGGTTGTGCCACTGCTCAGTGCTTCCTTCAATGAACCTCCTCCTCTACATCAAGGAGGACTACACGTCCTTGCTAATTAGTA